GCACACCCACACACACAGCTAGAATATACTTTCTTAAAACAGGATTAATTGCTACAGTACAGATAGTTGAGAATTATTGTGTGTTTACAGGTTTGTCTAATAGTAGTTTTGATTTAGTAAAATGCACAGTGGTATTTTTCATAGGTAGAAAAGGCAAACTTTCTTCTAAATCATTACTATATACTTAAAATTCTAAAGGATCTTAATATTGACTTTTTAAAGTAAGTTATTATAATCTGGCAGCCCTACTGGCAAACAAGTATGCTGAAAGAATGAATGATAAAGTTGAAGACATATTGTTGTATATATGTATGTAATTCTGAGATAATTTTCTATGCAAGTAGTTTAATGCAACTTTTTAACATTATTTATGTTAACTTGATACATCTCATAGCTTTTTGATAATTGGTAATTTCTTCTAAATATCATGTTATATTTTACCATTATATCTTATGAAATATATTACTTTACAAAGTGCTTTGCATTTTGTTATATTTTAATAAGCATGATATTACATTTTATACTGTTTTTGATGCATAATTGCATGAAATATAAGCTTCCAGAACTGACTTTGAATTAGTTAAAAATAGTTTGTAACATGAATGCTTTAAAGAAACTGTAATTGTTCCATATGTACCTATCAAAAAGAAATCTAATTTTTGTAAGAATAATAATTTTGATCCTTGAGGTTCAAAGTTACATTTTGTACTTTTAGATGGAGATGAGTCCTGCAGATCTGATTTTTGTATTTTACTATTTAGATCAACAATGTAAAGGAAAAGTGCTGTGCTGCTCTAAATGTAGTGATGTTTTCTCTTAAAGATTTTTAAAATAATAAATGCATAGATAAAACCCCTTTTTGAAATAATAAAGTACAATATCCACATAACTTGACAAATCTCCATTTTGTAGTCTAAAATAAGAATACGCTTCCTGTATTTCACAGGCAGTTGTTTCAATTCATTCTTTGTGCAGGTGAGCAAGAAAAGCCAGGAAATGGTTAATTATAGCTTTCCATTATGCTCTAAGTGGGAAACTATTTTTTATGGTTTCCAACAAACAAGAAAATGGAACCATGGTTTGAAGTTGGAGGCTATTAATACATTCCCTGTTGGAACATAAAACAAGTGTTGGTCTACAAAAACCTCACAGCTTATTCACTTGCAAAAAGGAAAGAGCAAAGTGATTGCATGCAAGAATATGAATAATACAGATTTGGATTTGTGATTATTCAAATCTGATCAAAATCATGTATGATATCAGAAGTGAACCTAGTACCAGTTTATTTATTGATTTGATTTGATTTTGATTTTTAACTCACCTTTATTACTTTTTAAGTAACTCAAGACAGAAGACATACCTACTCCTTTTTTCCCTACTACAGCAACCCTGGTCCAAAGTCACCCAGTTGGCTTTCATGGCTAGAAAGGGGGGGGGGGCAGAACTCATGGCCTCTGGTTTCTCCTGGTTAAAGAATATTATATTATTAAAGAAAGCAGCTAAATATCTGGAAAATATCACTCTCTCATTTGCCATGAGTATTGAAACTGGTTGAAATTATGTCTATAGCTTTAAAAATGTTAGTGAATAATGTGATATTACAGTCCTGTGTTTAAAAGTGTGATTCATGTATTTATTCCTAAACTATATTCTTGATTTTATTATGAGAGTACTATAATATTACATTGTCTGTATAAGTTGATATTTTGGATAACTCATGTATCAATATCAATATATGAAAATTATTACAATATTGAAACATATTGTAAAGTACAGCATAACATGTCATCATTAGACACATGTTGAAATTTGTTGGAACAAATCTTGCTTGTTCCTAGAAGTGCATCTTTGTGGCATGATATAAAATCAGTAGAATTTGAAAGGAGACTTACCACCAAAAGTAGATGGATATGGGCTTGTATAAGAAATTTGAACTGTGAATGGTTTGAGTTGCAGATACACAAGCAATGGAAAGGAGGGAAAGTGTAAATGTGACCGATAAGAAAGCAATATCTTATTACAATTTTATTGTGTTTTTCAATTCCAGAAAGAGCTACTTTATTTTGTAAAATTTTTAAAAAAACAGTAACAAACAGTGGTATTAAAATCTGTACAAGCCAAGCACTGCTTAAGAATTCAGTCTGTGACAACTCATAAGTAAATTACCTTTTTCAGTTGAGCCTGCTAAGTCATCTGATTTTTGTTGAGAGATGCATAGTCGAAGATGTAGTTCTCCTAGTCTGCTTCACTGCTATATAGTTTAGATTAATGGTTCCATCCAAGTTCTATACTTTATTTTCTAGAGTGTAGAAAAGAATATTGAGGTCCAGTTCAAGACACTTTTCTAAACTTTTAGGACTGTTTGGTAAGGAAGAGTTATTTTGAGTGTTCATTTAATTGCACAGCTTTTCTCTTTATTTCCATATCTAAGATTTTTGTTGTCAGTTAATGTTGGAAACCCAGGTTACAATGATACTTTAACAAGTATCAGTTAGAGAAATTACATATCAAAATGAAGTGGACAGATGTGCAGTCATAAACTGCTTCCATTGTCTTTACTTATTGGTATATGTACTAATTTAGCCAGTAGATTTCATTAAAATGGGCACAAGGCTTTTTCATAACGTATAAGATACTGCATGTTATTACTAAGCCAAATACACAGAAAGATAATAATATTTATAATTTCACAATTTTTCAGTTTTGTGACTCCATCTAAAATCAGGTTCCCTATAGAGACAGCAAGCTGACCTGTTTGCTACAGGATTCTCTGGGAGGCAGTGCCCACAGCTTGATTATTGCAAATATCGCTCCAGANTTTTTATTATTTTGGTAGTTGATGGCAAGATGAATTGATGTAATTACTTAATAATACAACATGATATTGACTATGTAATAGTATACATGTGATTATATGCTATGAAAATGGAAAATAATTTTTTTTTGATGGAAAAGAAATGATATTAAACTATATCTGGGTTTGTGGAAATATCATCCTAAGGAAACATAAACTGAATTCTGAAAGAGACACTTATAACAATAGAACAGAAAGTGAGAGAGGAGGAGAGAATGAAAGGAAGACGGAGGAAAGAAGAAAGAGGTAAGGAGAGGAAGATGGAAGGAAGATGAAGAGAAGGAGAGAAGGTAGGAAGGGGAAGAGGAAGAGTAGGAGTAGGATAAAGATAAAGATAAGGGAAGAAGGAAGGAGATGAGGAAGGAAGGAAGTAGAGAAAGGAGGGAGGGAGAAAAGAAAGGGAAAATAAGGTGGTGTTAGAACAGGAGGAAGGGATGGTAAACAAAGCAACCCAAATAGTACATTGTAACTTATTAAATGAAAGAATAAATGTATAAGAATGATAAATGTAAAGAAGAATAACAATCATGTGAATGTATACTTGGTGGTATGTAAGAGAATAAAAAAATAAAAATTTTGGGGAAAAAAAGAAACTCCCTAGAGGCCCCAATTAGCTTTTCCTCATGGAGGCAGCTCCCCCTTCAGCCAGCAGAGCTTCAGAGGAAGCCTTGGAGGCCCTGTGGGGCTGGACCAGACAATCTGCAGGGCCTCAGATTTTATGAATTCCTCCAAAGGAAACTTCACCCACTTAGAATTTCCACACCTGCCCAGACCACTAGGAGCTCCTCACATTCACAAGGGGCGGCGGCTTGGGGGTCAAACTGAGGAAGAAAGAGAGTTGGCCAAAAGAGGTTGGAGGATGTGGGAGAGGCCAAGGCTCCGCTCTGCAGGCATCTTCTCTAGAGGCTCTGGAGGATTTCGGAGGCTACCCTTCTACCCCCATAACAGATCTAAGGGGCATCTGGGAGGGGCTTCTCTGGGCCTCCCCCCCCCCGAGACTTCCCGCAAGCACCCACCTTCCTCAGGTGACCCAACATGACCATCACCCTGTGACCAGCTCTCTCCCTGCTTTCTGAAGGCTCCCCTGGAGGAATTCAAGGTAAAAGAAGCAAAAGGATGCCACCTCTCTGGCTCTTTGGTGATGTCGAAGTACCCCTCCCCAGAAGTGCAGCCAGGCTCTTCGTGGGGGTTACTTTTTCTCCCCACCCCTCTTGCCCTTCTGTCCTCCCAGCCTCTCTCCTAGACCCCCTGGCAGGGAAGCCCACCAAAACCAGGGAAGTGATTCAAACCTACCATGGACACTGGTTTGGCTCTAACTGTGGTTTTAAAAACTGGGGAGCAGGGGTGTTAAAGGCAAGATATGGAGAGGATATAGGAGACAGTAAGCCCTCCCCCTGCTCCCTCTAAGGATCTTCCTCTTGATGACTCCGTGGCCTTTTAAAAAGGATCCCTGCCTTCAACCTCCTTCCGAGGCCAGATGAATGCATACAAACAAACCCACACCCAAGGCCTATTCAGAGCATCCTGTTTTACATGCACAATATGTTCATTGGTGCAAGGCAGATGTGCATGAGGAGGGAAGGGACAAATCCTGCAGCAGAAATCCACTCTCTGCAGCAGCAGCAGAATCCAGAGGCACTGATGCACCTCAGAGAGAGTCCAACTCCTCATCTCCAGAAAATCTGCGATCCAGCCTGAAATTCATTGACCCTTCCTGAGCGTGCCGCTTCTCTCCATTCTGGGGCCTCAAATGGGGAAAAGGCTTTGAAATTTCATTTTTTCAGGCTGAAGCTTCTCCAGGAATCAAAGCACCAGAGCAAAAATAAAAGCAGAAACATGAGTATTTCTCACACCGGGAACCACAGCGGCACAATGGATGGACCAAGTGTGGACCGTGCCAGTCTGGGAGCAGGAGGGGCCTTGGGTGGCCTCAGGTATGAGCCAAAATTAAAAGAGAGGCAGCTGCTCCCTCCCTCCCTCCCTTCCTGGGCCCAGGTCCAGGTTTACGAAGTGGTGCCAGAAGGAGAGGCATTCTCAGAACTGGGCCCAGCTGGGCTTGGATCAACGAAACTCCCCCTTCAAGCCCTGGAAGGGGCTTCCCAGGGGCCGCACCAATTTCCCCACCCAAGCTCCACACAGCTCCTCACCTCTGGTGTTGGTGGCCATGTCTGCCACTCTCTGGAAGGCCTCCAGGAAAGCCACTGCAGCCAGTATGGTGGTCCTAGGGAGAAAGAGGGGCTCAGGTCGAGAGGAGAGGTGGTCCTTTGCGGGAGGATGGAGGGACAGGACACGGGAGCCTCAGGCCGGGGGAAGCTACAGGGCAACAGGAAGGCAACCTTGGCAGAGAGAGACAGAGGCAGTTTCCTGGGCAAAAGGGGGTTGAAGCTTTCTGAAGTCCGGAGCAGGGAAATAACCTCCCCTAATTGTCTGGGGTAGAAGAAGGGGGCACCGCAAAACAAGACTTGTGAAATTCTTGGATTATAGCCAATCTCAATGAAGTGAGATTTAGACTCCCTGCCAAGTTGATTTCCTGACCGGGCTAATTTCTCTTGCCAAACCAAAGTGCCTTCAGCCAGACTCTCCCGAGGGGGAAGAAAAAAGTAAGAGGTGCCTGCTGGCCTGGAAAGTCTCCTTACATCCAAAGTCTGCAGAACTTCCGCATGGCACAAACCAAGGCAACATCCAATGGGGTCACGTGAAAGAGGAAGACATGGATTGTCCCAAACGGGTGAAGATCTTCTTCTCGGGGCTCCTCCCTTTCTCTGGACGGGAGGGGGAGGGGTAAGCTGAGGCGACTCCAGCTATTGAGACCTTCCAGTCAAAAGCATCGACTGGCACTGGGCTGGAACAGAGATGGGCATCATCCGCACATCAAGGGCCCCATAGCCAATCAGGCCCAGGGTGTTTAGATGGATGCATGAAAACATGGAATGATGATTCCCCTGCCCCCATCCACGTCCTCCTGCCCTTCCTTTCCATCTTCAACACCTGTATCTGAGAGAGAGATCGGCCAGGATCTCTTCTACGGAGACACTCCTGGCAGGCATTTCACAAGCAAAAGCCTCTATCTCGCACCCATTCTTTCCATCCGCTTCTTGCCTCCGCTGTGCGAGTGTGGAAGGAGCGTTCGGAGGAACCAATCCCCCCAAAGGATGCAGCTGCTTTAATGCTTTGAGGAAAGGTGCTTCTTTTTTGCACCAACATACTTCACAGAGTATCTTTTTTGAAGGCCATGCACAGCCTTAGCAGACAGGCTCCTCTTTCTTCTTGTTCCTTTCCTAGATGTAAAGGTAGCCAAATGCACGTTGTTGACTTTGAGGGGAGGTTTATTACAAGCCCCTCCTTAAAATTCTCTGCCAAACTGCAGTGCAAACTCCAGTCAGCCCTTTGTTCACTTTTCTGTTTCTTGGAAACTAGCTACTTTATATTCTTTCCTACGGCTCTTAGGTTGGTCTTGAAAAGCTGCTGGCCAGGCACAATTGAAGCCCAAAACAGCCGGGTTGGGCAGGTGGTGGTTGCAGCTGTTCAGAACAGCAGGAGGCCCTAACTCCCCCCCCCCCTGTTCCCCAGAAGCATCAAAAAGGGGGTGTCAGAGTGACTGGCTAATCTTAATCTATTCGGACTTTTGATAAGCCTCACACCAAAACCTCCATGCACATTTAACAGAGACGGAGAGAAGCGCAGACGGCCTGACTGGGCCTGAGACGCTCAGCCAGTTGGGCCGCCCTTGGCAGAAACCCAGAAGTTCTGCCTACCACCATCTGCTTGCAAAAATGGTCTCCCAGCTCTCTGAACAGCCTTCCAAATAACTGTTTCTTCGAAAAAGGAGCAATCCGCTTCCCTGGGCTGGGAAGCCAATGCAGCTGTTCTGCAGGGGAACTCACCGCAGCTGGGAGTGGAGCTTCGTGGCTTTCGAGTTGAAATCTTCCCAGACAGGGTAGGAGCTCTGCAAGACAAGGAGAAAAGAGTTTGAGCACCCCCAGCCTCTACCTTCCCTGGGTAACAGCAGAGACCTATAAGGCAGTGGGGGGGGGGAGTCTGCTCATCTCCCTGGGGTGCCAGAAAGGCCCCGCTGGAGCCAACTCCTTCCCACAAGTCAGAAGCCTCCCCCGCACCCCCCCCCCCAGAGATCCAGACCTGCCCCAGCTCTGCTCAGAGCAAACACAAACGGTTGAACACTTTGGTACCTTTGGCCATGCCAGGTGTGGTCTAATCAGTTTGTATTAGAATCAACCAGACACGCAGCGGCCCCTTTAGGACACAAGATGACGCAACAGTCTCCTTGTTTTCCAAAGATGTCGCTACCGCCCTACAGGCTTCTGCTAAACCCAATGAAGGGGCCTGTGTGTTTGGAGCGCTGCTCTTGGACTTACAGTGAACTGTGGGAACTTTTGGGGGTAAAGTTGGAGCAATAAAAGGGAGTTAAACTTTCCCTCTGGCTGTGTGGCTTTCGTGCCCAGCCCCCGTCTACACAACTAAGACCCGACAAATTACATCCCAGAGTTCTAAAGGAGCTGGCAGATGTCACCTCAGAACCACTGTACCACATCTCTCAAAAATCCTGGAGCACCTGAGATGAGGAGCTGATGTCGCAATGATACGACGTACAATCTCGGAGCTCCGAGATCACAGTGGATACTTTTGCCTCTGGACAGTCCTTTTGGACCTAAACTGTCCCGAAGAGACGGTGACAGGGAAAAGTACGTCTTGCTGATCTCAGGGACATTGCAAAGTCCCTGATTGATCCAAGATAATCTCTTCTTGCTGGTGACAGAAGCGCAGCCATAAGCTGCTGAAGTTGGGACAGCTCCGGAACGGGAAGAAAGCGGAAAGAGAACTGTGTCCATCTGATGAGGAAATTCTATTGTTATAAAAGAGATTGCCCCCCAAAAAAATCAGCGCTAAGTTAAACTTGCAAAGAAAAGAAAAATAAGTGGCAAAATTAAGCTATATTGGATAGTGTGTTATCCTTTTTTTATGGACAGAAGTTTTGCAAGCATTTCCTACTTTTTAAAGTGAAAATATTGGTTTTCCTACTTCTATTTCTTTTTTTTTTACCTATGGATTAAATCTTTTTCTTTATTTTTATAATATTGATTTGGAGGGTTTTTTCTCTTTATTTTGCTCCTTATTTTGTTTCTTTTAAGCCTGGAATATAAAGAAGATATAAAAGGAATATAAAGAGGGTAGTAACATCAGAGGGAAAAGAAGTTGCCCTGCCACTTGGAGGTTGGAGACTGAGTCCTGGAAATATTGCTTTCTCTTTTTTCTCTTTGATCAGAATGCGCCAGACTTATATACTTAAATTAATACTGGACAGACATTTCTTAAGCTAGAATTTTTTGTTGCCCGTTTTGTAAGACTGGGCTAAAAAGTTATTTCTCTGTCATCTCTAAATAGTAGCAGATTCCTGAGTGAATAAAAGAAACGAAGATCTTGATATCCACTTGGAAATGGGG